GCCCACCAGATCGAACTAATCTATACACATTTCTTCCCAACTAGATGGATAATCTTGGTATTAAAGCAGTGGTAGGGAAAAACGAAATTCCGCCAGATTCCCGAATCCGCGTCAAAAATTCATCACCCGCGAAGTTTAATCGCGTGTCAGTTAGTGTATATCCGAATATTAGAAGGAAAAATAAGTCGACAACACATCTTTTTTAGATGTTATACTGGTTTTATCTTCCATCAAGCTCTATGCTCGTCTGTCCGTAAACAAAGCAGAATAATATAACTAGCTTTATTTTGCTGTAAATAATACGAACATTTGCAAAATTTTTATCATTAAACCGTCCACCAAATATCCAGTCCGTCCAGATCCTTCAAGATCATTCGAAAACTGGTTGTAGATGTTTTAATATAAATTGCACTGATGTACATAAAAGTACCTACATTTACACAATTTTTTTTGAATGGCAGAAAGTATTTGTAATGTTAACCGAATTTAAACATTAGACATCGTGATAGCTAATTAAATGCCATTTTAACGGATAAAAACGCGAATTTTCTAATAAAATTATTGGAAAATGAACAACTATAGATAATTAATACATAAAATTTAAATAAAATAATTTACGGTGTTAAAACACGGTGTATTAATTAAACTTATGTGGGAATGATTTTTAACTTGGGCCCTACGTTTACGGAGGTTTGCACAGCCGTGGTTACATAGAGACCGTTCCAAATAAGATTAACTAATATATCGCGTTTTAAACCGTTAAAGTGTTTTATTTAAACTATAGATACATACGAATTATGTATACCTATATACCTTGTTTATAAAGACCATAAATAGTTCTTCGTAACATGGCTCATAGATTAAATAATGACTTACTGATTATGTAAGTAGACAAGATATAATATAACAGAATTTAAAGATCAAATTATCAGATAAAAGCCATGAGTGTAAACGAGTTTTTGGTTTTCGATATGTACTATCAACAAGGTTACAGTACTGTTGAACAAATATATAATGCTGTCTATAGTTTTCGCGAGGAGTACACATTTAAATAAAACACTTTAACGATTTAAAACGCGATATATATCAGCTAAACTTATTTTTAACTACGGCCCGGTAAAATTTTTCAAATAAGTTTAACAAATATATATCGCATTTAAAACCGTTATAGTGTTATATTTAAATTTTATATATGATTTAACTGTTTAAAACTTACATTTTCACTTAACGAAGTCTGTGAAGTCATTTTAACTGTAAACACTTCGGCACTATCCAGTTTGTTCTTGGCAACACAATGTAACACACTCATACCACAGATTATATCACTACACAGTCTAAAAAAAAACAACAGCACATAAGCCTATACGACTATTTTCGTTTTAAAATTGAAAAATTAAAAGCAGTCTGCCTACTTCTGTTAATGTGGAATGACTGAGCTCGCGTGCGCCCGCGCAAGTACATAACTTGGTTTATAAAACATCTAGATACGCCTTTTTGCTGATGCTAATTACTTGTTGAAAGTAATTCTAGCTGTTTAAACGGCTCGTCGGTTTTGATATCAAATTTGATATTTCTTGGAAACTTTAATATTTTTCACATTAAAAACCGATTTTAAATGAAAACTACTTTTTTTAACGGTGTCACGGTAGCTCACTTCGTTAGAGGAACGTTGTGGGTGGAGGTTCAAACCTGCCCTCGGTGTATTTTTTTTTAAATTTTAAATAGATTTTGAATTTTTTATGTATTTTTGCCTAAAAGAATAAAATTGTCTATCCATGTCACAAAGCTCTAACAAATCCTATAGTGTTGAATGTATATTTAAGTGCCTTGCTTATACTTATATATAACTATATAATATGTATAACATATAATGTTAGGGTATTTAATAAATAAATTTAGAAAATAATTTTTTTTTAGATCATTTAAAAAGGTATAATTCTTTCATATATAATTTTTGTGTGTCTTAAATTTGATGAATATTTTTTCCCTATTGCTTCTACGGTGCGATACTTTATAGCCTATAGCATTCCTCGATAAATGCTCTACCTAATACAAACAGAACTTTTTAATTCGAACCAGTAGTTCCTGAGATTAGCGCGTTCAAACAAACAAACTTTTCAGCTTTATATATTAATACTTTATATATTCTAACTTATAGTAATATAATAAAATTGTTATCAAAACACTATTTCTGTCTTTCAAATGTGTCATTAAGTAATTAGTTTTTACGTGTCGCTAATTAAAAAAACATAATGGTTCTTTAATCTTAATAATAATTACGCAATTAATTAAAAATATTGCGGAAATTAAAAATAAACAATTTCGTTTCACAATGTTAGTTCCCATATCCTCCGAAACGGGTCGACCACTTTTTATATATAAAAACATGTCAATAAAAATATGAATAATATAAAACATAAAGAATATATATGTTATTCTTTAAATAATCTAAAAAACGTCGCGACGGTTGTTCAGACTTCTGTGCTCTGCCCGACCGAAACAATTTTTTGTTTCCCTGGGATTCGAACCTAGGACCTCTCGCGCCTAACGCAATGCTAGGCAATACGTTTAACCGTTTGGCTACAGAGGCGGTCTGCCTTCACATTCTATTAAATTAAAAAACTCTAACGATTTAAAACGCGATATATTAGTTAAACTTATTTCACGGGTCATTTAGGTCACGGGGAGACCACCTCTCCCCGTGACCACGGCTGCTGCAAAGCATCCGAAACGTCGGGCCGAAGTTAAAAATCATTTTTAAATAAGTTTAACTGATATATCGCGTTTTAAACCGTTAAAGTGTTTTATTTAAATTTGCACTACTCGCGTTAACTATAGACAATATTTAACTACAGTCTATCTTATAACTATATGAAAAAACTAGAGTCTATCGAACTTATCGCAACGGACACCTCCATGAACATAGTATATCTTTGATATCTTTAATATGAGTCATACATAGGACGGTGCGTTACATCTTCCGTTAGTGGGTCAAGAAAGAAGACATTACAATTACGAAAGCGGAAGTTGATTTTGAAATGAAAGTTACTACGATAGTTTTATCACAATACATATTGTTTACATTAAAACATAGCACAAAACTATTCTATATGTGGGGCATGGGGCATACATTTTTCTGTGTCTGTCACAATTTAAAAACTGTTTTAAACACTAGACTGTATCAGCGAAATCGTCCGCCCCTTTATAATTTATCAATTTAAGCTGTTGAAAATAAAACACTTTACCGCTTTGAAACGCAATATATGTTAGTAAAACTTGTTTGAAAATTATTTAGCTGCAAGGCATCCGGAATGTCGGGCCGAAGTTCAAAAGTACATTTTCAAATAAGTTTAATGTAATATATCGTTTTAAACCGTTAAAGTGTTTTATTTAAATGTGTACTACTCGCGTAAACTACAGACAGTGCTGTTACCCATGACATCGGTGGCGTCCCGTCGTTCTAGCAAGTTAATATTAAAAGATAAACATATACTGTCGCGGACATTTTTTTTATTCCAGACGAAGTCCAACATGCTTCAGAAATATATAAGTTGATTAGAAACATGTTTGCCTTGGGTGGGAATCGAACACACGCCCTGTTGGCTGTTGATAGTGCCATACATTGCTATCATTAGAGCAAGGCCATCAAAATTTATAGATTATATTTGTGTATGAATCACACGTATAGTGGGTTCGATCTGTCGTGAGTTGTAATCTGATATAATTTCCTTTAGCTTACCTGGATTTCCGAAAACACATTTTAAAATCTTCAAGTCGTTACTACATCATTGACTCGCGTGTATTCAAACCACGCGAATTGTAGAAATTCCAGTTCTCGTGAGTCACGTATTATTATTTGATTCTAAATCTAGATAATTCTGAATAAAATCTTATATTTTAACATTTTCCTCGTTATAAGGAAACATTTTTTTACATTTTCCGTCACGTTTACAGTCCGTTGGAAATTCTAGAAATAAATGTACACTAATATTTTTAAAGAGGAAAGATATGAATTTGTGTGTTGTGGAGGAACTCAAAATTTGGGCCAAAGATTTCTTTTTTCTTTAGAAAGCTATATTTACCACAAGTAACATAGTCTATTATTGCATGAAAATTACTTACTAACATTTTTATTTGAAATGAATTGAGGTTTCTATTAGATGACCAGTTGATGGAAGGTGAAATAAAGTGCATATAACTTACAAGTAAGATGCACTGTCGATCTTTTTAGGTTTATAACAATAAGAAGTTCAAATAACAATCGTTGTAAGCCGTACAGAGTTTCATATTCTTTCCAGCAAAGAAAAACGTTAACATAGTCTTTGAGGAGCGGAAGTCCTACGAACCCTAGACTACGTCTGAATTATTGTAAGATTATTGTAGATCTTAGCTGATATCCATGTAATTTTTACGTGTTTTTATTGTGTTTTGTATATAGCGTCTGTAGTTCAATGGTTAAACGTGTTGTATGCCGTTAAGCCCGAGAGGACCAGGGTTCGAATTCCGAAACCGTGTCGGTCGCACAGGGCACAGAAGTCTGATCGACTGCTTGCCTGTAATGAACTGATCAGAGTAACGGCCACATAAATATGTTTACCCTACGGGGGAAAAAGGAATTCCACTACATACAAAGAAAAAGTACGTTGACAATTTAATTATTATTCTACAGACAGCTGGTGAAGCTAATATGAGTCATTTATTATCAATATATGTTATGACGCATTTTAAATTATAATTCAAAAGAAATATTAGGACAAGTGTACTTTTAAATACAACGCTTTAACGGTTTAAAACGTGATATATATCAGTTAAAATGTGTACTACTCGCGTAAACTACATACAGTATTTAAGTGTACTTTTGTATGTATTTGTATAGTTTTTCAGGCCTTAAAGAAACATCCTAACTACTTACTCATAGTTATGTAAAAAATGCATATGACAGTTACGTCAAAGATACAATTTATTTAAGTAATTTGATTGATATTTTTTTTGGCTTCATCATGAATTTACCCGAGATAAAACCATACGAGGAGCAAGCAATAGATGCTGTAGTGTCAGTGATAAACAGAGCAAAGGAATCTCTTGGAATACGACAAACATTGAAAGAACTTGCAAGTTAGTACTTCTGCTGTGTATGCGAGTTCTAAAGAGATCCCGGGATGCTTCATATTTGTGTCAGAGGTTCTACTGTAGGGTTTAAGTCGGTTTAAGTCCAATAATACCTATTTGCTCTTTCTAATGTGGAAGGTATCCAATAGGATTTCCCCTTGGTAAAAAAATGGTAGCTATGTATGGCTAATTAACGGAGCTGTCCCCCATCGGGTAAAATTCCATTTCAGAAACACGCGAACTTTACTCGCCCCGAGCGAAAGTATGCACCACAAATCTAAAAAGTCCTCTTGTCAAGAGTGGCGAGGAATTGATTAGAAGTGCAATTGAGAAGGAGTGGGGTTTGACAGATACCATGATGTACACCTTGAATTATAAAGGTGGATCTCAAGATGAATGCGCTCAGTATTATTACTTTGAAGTTAGTATCTTCAAAGTATTGTCGTTCTTGGAAGGTAAACGGTCATTCTGCGCTTGCGCAGCAATCAAACGTGACCAACTCACAGTTTAAACACACATGTTGAAAGTTGTAAAACAGACTGACGTTTAATAAAAGATTGCAAAAATACTCGACACAGATTATAAATGGTTTGAAGTTAATGTTGCCAAAAGTCACGCATTCAAATGCATTTACGTTTAGATTATTATTTTGACGGGCTGGCTCTAGTGGTCGTGGGTTCGATCTCCACCGGGTCCAACATTTTCCGATTAATTTATAGTTCTTCCCAAACATGTTGGATTTTGTCTGAAAATTTAATTATATTATAATATTATTTTACAGGCAATATTCAGTCAACCAACCGCCGCTTATCCTATACCTCAATCTACCGCCTCCGTGTTCTTCAGAATCCAGGATAAACATGTAGAATCTCCTGAAAACAGACCTGTACCTGTGGTAAGTGATGACTTTCAAAACTTTTTTAACGGGTTACGAAATGCATTTCTTAATTATTTCTAATTTAATTTAACTTGCCCCGACGTTGCTTGACATCGTTTTCGACGTAAGTAAATAGACTAATATTTTTTCTCGTTTTAAACCGTTAAAAGCATTTATTTAAACTTATTCGAAGTATCATTGTATTAAATATAATGGCAAAGGTGTGGGGGACTGTCTATCTCCAGACTTGTATCCGGAAACACAATATATTTTTTTTGCTAACAATTTGAAACGTATCGACGTTACTTATCAATACTAAAAAAAAACGAAATAAAATGCGGGGGCGTCGGTAAAGAGTCGATTCCTCCAAGTTAAAAAAAAAAATAAAATAAAATAAAAAAAAAGATACTCTTAAGACTGGAGTAGTAAAACGGACACAGAAATATGTTCGCCCCCACACCCAGGTGGGAATGAAATCGACTGTGTTGTTATTCCTCTATGAATGACCCAGACGATGATCTTGGTCAAAATACTTCACAATGATAAGAACTATATTAATTTGATGCCATTTTAGATGACGTTCAGAGTGGAGGGACATCATCGCGATCATGACGTACGGTACATCACGTTACCCGCAGACTGGATTCTTGGAGTCATCAAGATGAAGTCCAAGCTCTTTGAAAGGATAGAGAATTTGCTATTGTTTTAATTGGTGTACAAATTATACATATTATATTAATTAAACTTCTAGAACACCTTGCCGCTAGACGTTAGCATTTCACACTTTTATTTACACTAACAATTTCAATAGTTACTGAATACTGAATGATTCCCGCTAAAGTCACTGATATGTAATATCAAATAGTTGTATGAGCGCTGTCCAACAGAGGAACACTAGGGTTTTGCTGCAAATCAGTGTTGTAGCATAACCGTGCTGCAACTTATGTTGACGCAAGACACTTGGGTTTCGTATCAATTGTTTTAATATTATCACACTAATTATTTCCAGCATTAAACTAAATAAATGCCAATAAAAGAGATTTTTATTATATCTTAGGACACATTCGCACTAAGTGGTTTACTGTGTCGCTACTGTACCACTACGCTACGGTTTCACACAACCCTTAAACTAACTGTGTTAATACTTTTAAATAAAACACTTTATGATGCTTTGCAGCAGCCGTGGTCTCCTCGTGACCACGGCTGCTGCAAAGCATCCGAAACGTCGGGCCGAAGTTAAAAAATCATTTTCAAATCAGTTTAACTAATATATCGCGTTTTAAACCGTTAAAGTGTTTTATTTAAATGTGTACTACTCGCGTAAACTATAGACAGTATTTTGTATTAATACTTATTTTAGGTAGCACAAAATTATATTTGCAGACAACCCCCTCAGCTTTATAAAACAATGCTCTCATCCACGATGTCGTCGTCTACCTGTCGTTCTTGAGACTTTAACAGAGATATGTATTGTCGCGGCCATTTTAGATCGTTTATTAAGAGAAATCATCTTTTATCAAAATTTAATTCTCTCTATTTTTTAATTTTTCACTGTCTCCTCGCTCTTTCCGGTGGCAGCGTGATGTTACATCTAGCGCAAAATTTTTATTTCAATTTGAACTAGTAGTGTAAGGCTTTCACGGCCATAGTTCAGCCGTGGTCACGGGGAGACGGCTGCTGCAAAGCATCCGAAACGTCGGGCCGAAGTTAAAAATCATTTTCCAAATAATTTTAACTAATATATCGCGTTTTAAACCGTTAAAGTGTTTTATTTAAATGTGTACTACTCGCGTAAACTATAGACAGTATTTAGTAAACAAACACACTGTCCAGCTTTGTTTTTCGTCTACGATCGTATATAGTATACGTGATCAACTATAGGTATCATTGCTTGTTGCATTTGGTCCCCGATTTTTATCGATCTAAAACAAAACAAAATCAAATATCTAACCTAAATAACTCTCGTATTTTTTCAAATTAAATTTCTGGAAGTCATTTCAACCGGTTATTGAAACCTTGGAAATAACTTATGAATATTCAATGATTCTACTTAATGTCATGCGTGACCAAAAAACAAGTCTAAATTTATTAGCGTTTTTTTTATTCGTTACATATTTTAAGTGTTTCTCTGAATCTAGATTATTCTGGAGGGGTTATTTCTGCGTATTACTGTATGCTACTTTGATAAACTATCGATTAAACAAATATAAACGTTTATAAAACACCTTAACGGTTTAAAACGCGATATATTTTAATTAGAGACTGTCTCCTTGTGACCACGGCTACTGCAAAGCGTCCAAAACGTCGGAGCGTAGTTTTAATAATTTTCAAATAAGTTTAACTAATTTATATCGCGTTTTAAACCGTTAGTGTTTTATTTAAATGTTATTTACTTGCGTAAAGTAGAGACAGTATTTAAAATGTGAACGGCTTAAAACGCGAAATATAAATATATTTTAATTAGGATCCAACGATTTTGGTTCTTCGCAGCCCAGTGACCATGGCAAATTAATTTTCCGTTTAAAACAGTTAGGTGTTTTATTTAAATTACCGATCCTATAATTATAGTTATAGATTACTCTAATAATTCCTAAACAAAAACTGAATTGCGCATTTTTCTTGTCCTTTGTTGCTATTGAAAATTACGTTTTTTTAGGCCACTCTGGCTCTAGCAGCCACTTATATCACGTGTGATTGAAGATACTTCTACTAAGGTCAATGTTCGTCTTACGTTAACTCTCAATAGATAACAACTTTCACTAAACGCATTTGAAATGCAAATCTAATACGCAATATTAGAAACGAGAGCAGACAAAATTGCGATCTCTAAGATAATCGACAATATTTAAATAAAACGCTTTTAACGGTTCAAAACGCGAAATATATTGAGGTTGAAATTACATTGCATGTATCAATTGGCTGAAAAATGTCGACGATGACGTGTAGGACTCGGTAGCGCAATTGGTTAGCCGTTAGAGGAACAGCACGAAACGCTGAAGATGCCGGTTCAAATCCAGCCCGAATAAATGTTTTAAAATTTAAAAGACAGTATCTCTTGACTTGTTTTCTGATTCACACGAGAGAAGATTCGCAAGGCTTTGTAATCAGATACACAGTATATATTTATTTTAGTATCCAAAATTCCAAACATGCGGGTCTTAATATCAGAGACAATTAATCTTTGAAAAGACCTTGTTCTTTAAAATGCGGGTGTTTCATAAGATACTGCTTAAATTAAAAACCGACTAGAGATTAAATACTGTCTGTAGTTCACGCGAGAAGTGCACATGTAAATAGAACACTTCAACGGTTTAAAACGCGATATATTTTAGTTAAACTTGTTTGAAATTTATTTTTAACAACGGCCCAACGTTTACTTTGACGTAACAGACATCCTCCATCTTTAGTCACCCCGTGACCACGGCGGCTGCAAAGCATTCGAAACGTCGGGCCGTAGTAAAAAAACCGTTAAAGTGTTTTATTTAAATATATATTTAATAAACTAAATATTTTTTTTTATATATATATATAAAGCCTATATAATAAATAATTATATTGCTGGGACATTACTAAGATCGTAATGAAAATTAAAATGTATTGTCGGATCACTAAACCGTACATAAGACTCAGATTAGCTTAGGCGTTAATTATGCACTTTACGGTTCGTCTCGCTCGAGCAGGTGTCATGATGTAGATCATTGTACCCAAGGCATATTAGCACTGTTGATACATTATTTATTAAAAGTACTGTACGTACTCAAACAGTAATTTAAACATGAGAGGATTTACAATATTTTTGCCTTTCGTGTGACTCGCAAAACAAAGAAATATTAATTAGTCGGCCCATACACATTGACCGTAGTTTACGCGAGTAGGACACATTCAAATAAAACACATTTAACGGTCTAAAACGTGAAATATTTTAAACCTTACGCAAGGACACAACCAATTTCACGAAATGTCAATTACGACGAAACTGGCGACGTTAGCACGTGACACTATCCATTTTCAGTCCCCCTGTGACCACAATTGTTGTAAAGCATCCGAAACGTCAGGCCGTTGTTAAAATAAATCAAGTTAGCTAATATATTTCGTTTTTTATCGATTTCAAATAATATTTAGGTAATCTCTGGAGTTCATAATCAGCTAAGATCACAATACTCGTATAACATGTATAGGTACTGATTATAACTATATTGACTTACACTTAGTGTGTTTGCATTTCGCGACACCTAATTACACAAGACGATTTATATTGTTCAAACAAAAAGATAAGATACGTAAGCTAGACAGTGTTTTATTTGCAGACAGCAAGTGTTAACACAGAATTAGCGACGCCGTCCTTAGAAAAATGCCTTTACCTGAAATGATTCATCGCTGACCCAAACCTGTCATTTGTACGCGTTCGGCTTGCGCGCGCGCACGTTTGTCGATAATTGTTAAGTTCTAGTTAAGTTACAGTTTTGTTATCTGTGTGAGTGAAATGGTGCGTACGTACGAAGTGATTGGATGTTTTAGGATGCCGCGACGATCGAAAGTGGTGCCAGCGCCATCTGGTGACGGAGTTTTCACCATTGATATGTCATCGACTTCGACTTTAGATATAGCTGTAAGTATAAAATGCGTTTTGGGAAACTACGCAGACGAAAGGTGGATAAACCAAAATAAAATACAAATGTATAATAAGACAATAATAAATAATACAGTTGATATATTTGGTTATACATATTTGTAGCTCAAAATGCAAACCATAATACCGAGCCCTGATTAACCAACGCTGCTGCAAAGCATCCGACACGTCTAAACTATGAAATTTTGCGTTTTAAACAGTTGACAGTGTTTTATTTACTTTAACATGCTAACAATATAACAAGAATAATTTTCCTCTTTTGATTTAATTTATCTACTTAAAATGAATATGAATAAATAAGTTATGTTTTATATTTGAATGAAGCAATAGCCCGCTATAAGAGGTCGATATCTGTAATAGAAACAAAAGATAGTGATAAGCAGTAAGCACGTGGTGTTTGAGCACAATAGAAGTAATAGCTTGGGCGCTTCAAACTATGAAAGTAGAATAAATACCTGCTCATGAAGTGTCGAAAAGATAAAACGAAACGATACATAGGTATTTAGAGTCTTCATGATAACAAATGCCTAGCCAAAATAGGTCGACCGCGCATCTGGTTTAGATGTTAGAGGTATCTCACCTTTTATCAAACCCATACTTGTCTATCCTCTATTATAAAAACAACCTTTTTAAAACTTTTTTTATTGTAACATCGTTCGCCCGAACGTCTTATATCAACCTACTTCACCCTAAACCACATTTGCGCTTGCGCAGTTTTAATGTCTATAGAAGTATATGGCATAAAACAACTTGAAATACTAATAATTAATCTTTGTAACATTTAAATTTCTTTCGTTATGGAAGTCGCCTTGAAATTCGTATTTTTGAATATAACACTTTAACGTTTAAAACGGTGGTCACGGGGACACTGTCTCCCCGTGACCATGGGCGCTGCATGCTCCGAAATGTCGAGCCGTAATGTTCAAATAAGTTTTTCTAATATATATCGCGTTTAAAACCGTTAAAGTGAACTATTATGAAATATGTACTAGTCGCATAAACTTTAGACAGTATTTAATTATTGTATTGATTTACATGAAACGAGTATAATGTCTACAAATATTAATGTTGTTACGAACGAGTTAAACACTTAAAGAATTGAATTACTAAGTAAAAGCTGGGAAACTAGTTTGAAATGACGTATAGAGATCATAATTTTGAATCAGTAGAGTATTAGTAGATTTCTATTATCCGTAATACTGTACTCAGTAGTAATATTAAAACAGCCATATTTAAGACGTATTGTACCGTTATAAATATATCTTGTACCAAATTAAAAACCAGTTATGCCGAGTTGTGGTATGAACTTTAATTGTGCTTCGGAAAGAATAAATTAAAACCTTAACTGCACACTGATGCTCTAAGTTTCTGAATATCTTGTTTATGATTGTACTAACTGTACACATTACTCACTAATCTAATACATAAATGAAAGATTATAAAATTATTGAATTAATTTGTAGAAACTTCTTATGCAAATAAAAACTATTAAAATATATTGTTCAATTGCAATGCAAAATGCAATCGAGTCTTGAACATTTCACCAAAGATGGCGGACATCCCAAATGTCAAAGTCAAATCTGCTACGCTAGCGCCATCTACATAATTGGTGAAACAAACCGGATTTTTATTATGCATAATTCAAACAAAAAATAATGCATATTAGATAAAACAGACATAACCTAGGTTTTGTATACTATAACTTATATTTAATATAACTAGTCTATACTATAATTATATCGCATAAGACAGGGAGTGCCTAGGTTGGAGACACTTGTACAAATAAAAGATATCATTTTAGTATTTAGTTTACACTTTTATCGAATTGAATTATTTAAATGCTTCTTTATTAATTATTCAGTACCACAATCATAATCTTGTATTTCGTGTGTCATCTTTACTATAATAGTCACAATTACTATAGTTCCATTTTAAAACCAAATTTCTCTCACAGTATCTATACATACGGCGTTGGAAAGAAATCGTGGCAACTAATGCTGACCGGATAAACACTTAATCAGGCTACCATTTATGTTCTTACCATATCCAGCAACGTGACATTGCTTTTAAGGCCTAGCCAAGAGTCTTAAGGGAAATGGACGTTATTGAAATCGTTTGATTTATTTTTATACATATCAGTTTTAAATATACTACCCAATTTATTTTTAAACTAAAACGAACTGGTGACTCTCGAGAGCATGGTATAATTGTAGGATTATCGAAATTGCGCCCGAGTCACAAAAAAGCCTGGAAGCGTTAAGCCCCCTTTTCATGGTAAACATTTGTTTAGCTTAAAGTTGAGATGCTCTCAACAGGTTGCTGACAACACTGTATGTTTCAAAATTAGTTACAGCTTGTTGACAAGCAAAAGTTTTTGCAACGTTTTAAAAAATGGCAGTGGAACAACGATAAAAGTGCAATTAAAAGAAAAAATTTCAAACTTTGTCTTTGTTAAAAATATAACGTAAATCAATTTTAAACGATAAAAATGCTTTGGGGAACCAGCTCTAACGAGAAAATTGACAATGAATCTTGGCGATATAAGGCGTGGCGGCGAGTCGTTTGCCAGTTCTTCTCGTTCGTTCTACGTCCTTGATTTGAAAACTGGTAGTAAATTTAGAATTTTTCAGGTTTTAACTAGTATGATGTTCATAGTTACCTATGTTTTTGATTTACGACCGCGTGTTGATGTGTATTCGTGGATTTCAGAATGTTGAATCTTAAATACTGTCTATAGTTTAGCAAGAAGTAAACATTTAAATATAACACTTTAACGGTTTAAAACGTCGGGCCGAAGTTAAAAATCATTTTCAAATAAGTTTAACAAATATATCGCGTTTCAAACCGCTAAAGTGTTTTATTTAAATGTCAAATCTTCTTAACAGCGCATTACATGTTATACGACTCCTTCCAACTAGACCTCCCGTTTGCCTGTCATCTTAAAAATACAGACATTGCTGTTAGGTGTAATCAATCAATCTTTAAGTAAACAACGCAGGACCTCATTAACGCCAACCTTGCTTCGTAAATAACAGAGATAGGTGCAATAATTATTGCAATTATGACTAAAAATAGATGACGTATCTGACCGCACATAGAACGAACCATCCATTGCGTTTATAATGTGAGTACAATGTCTAATATATCATCTATTAAAATACTAAAATAAGACGCAATCAACAAATGTTATACATAGTTACCTACTTGTACAAATTAAAGAGATTATTTCAGTATTTAGCTTATACACTTTTATCATAAATTTAATTTTCTATATGAAACTGTTCTTCTTTATTAATTATTAAATACCATAATCATGCGTCATCTTAACTATAATAGTCACAATTACTACAGTTCCATTTTAAACCAATTTTCTCTCACGGTATCTAAAGTTGAAAAGAAATCGTCATCGTTATACATTTAAGCTGTTACCTTAATCTTATTATTTTCGTTCTTGGAAGTTAGCTAATCTTAAAAGATTGACATATAGTGTGTCAGACATTCTTTCTTACGTATTTGGCTATCTTGAACTGCTTTTGCAGCGTACTCATCGGAATCCCACAAGACAAATAATGAATTTGAAACAAAAATTGCAGTACTTTAGGGCACAGAATTCTGATCAACTACTTGCTTGTTAAAGAACGGATCAGTGAAACGAACACAGAGATATGTACGCCCCATGCCCCATTAGGGGAGACTGGACTGGGACTGCAACCGACATTGTTTTACGATAGAGGAGGATAGACATAGATGTTAACTTGATGGTAGATAAAATAGCCCAGCCATAAAACATCTAAACAAGATGTGCTGTCGATCTATTTTGGCTTTGGATATTCGGAAGTCCACAGACGGAAACCGAAGGACAATTAAATTTATTTATTTATTTATTTATTTTATACACAGGTTTTACATATTTAATACACATCTGTTAAAACTAAAATCTATACAAACTAGTGATAGTGGTATAAAGATTTACCTATTTTAATCACAATAAACTTTGTCTTATAGACTCACTATATATAAAAAAGTGTAGTACAGTATATCTAAAGAGTATGTAATACTAAAAACATATGTGCTACTTGTGCAAGTGGATGTATATTTAATTTGTTTATAGGGTATAGTTGGTTATAGGTTAATTAAATTTCACGGCTTCATCTGTGGACGTTGCTGCGTGACCCGGACAGAATTTCTATATACCTATCGCCTATTTAATAGCCAGATCCAAACACAAGTCTGTATTAATGTCTTCCTGAAAGTTTTCAGGACAGGCACTTAGTGGCGACATCTTTATGCGTTGCGCTGCGTTACTTAATAATGCTAATCGTGGCTATAATTATTACGCTATTTAAAGCCAGTTTTAACTAATCTTGCGCATTGCGTTTGGCTTATACCGAGTTTATAACACGTTTAAACTATGTTTAGAAATGTTAATGACCTAAGTATAAAAATGTTGCTTGATAACGGGTTCAAACATTTATTCACTATAATTTTTCCTAAATAAATTACTTTTAACGGTTTGAAACGCGAAAAATTTTAGTAAACTTTTTTTGTATATAAGTAAGTTTACAAATATAAGTTTTAAACAGTGCTTATGGATAATACATGTGCGTTTGTTTGTTATCTAATGTTACTGGTGTTTTTCTTATTATTATACAGGTGGACAAATAAGCACGTGGATCACTTGACAGTAGGTCAAATACAGCATAAGCTAAATAAAATAAATCTACTAGCGTGAACGCAGACACTATTTTATAACTATTTATGTAAAACATGTAATGTTCAAGCTGGAATCTGTAGTTAATAGTTTAATACCAGAATGAAATAAGCCAAGGAGCCAGAGATCTACATAGTTAAGATTTCACAACCTAAACATTCCTATGAGCTGATATATTCTCGGTTCGAAACAAAGGAATTCCCAGTAGGTACACTCATTCAAGTAATTTCCTACAAAGCCTTTGATTATCATTGACAATCTAAATTAA